TCAGCTCTTCCAAGGATTTTAGATCAGCCAGCCCCTTTGGGACACTGTTGATCTGATTGTTTTGTAGGTTGAGTTTTTTGATGTTGACTGGCAAGCATTCAAAGACGGCATCTGCCAACTGATTGGAGGACAGGTCCAACTCTGTCAGAGACGCAGCCCACTGGCATTGTACATCAGCTCCGTCGTGGCGCAGCAAGTTGTTGCTCATGTCCAGATAATTCAGTGATTTCATACGGCTGGTCATGAAGCTTACCTTGAGAAGGCTCTCAAATTTATTCCATTGCAAGATTAATGTCTCCAGTTGAGTTAGGTTGTCACATTTTTGAAAAAGTAAGTCTGTTAAATCATTCTTTAAAAAATTTAAGTGTCTAAAGGGACTAACAGATGAAGGACAAAGCATATGAATCATCTCTGATTCAGCTATCGTCATGTCTGCAATATTCATGTCTGCAAATATTCTGTACAAGTCATCCTGATTGAAGTACAGATCTGTGATTTTAATTTTCTTCACTGTCAGTGCCTTCATAGAGGTACCTGAATAGTCAAAGTCATAGCTTTCGACATCCGACAGTTGAGTGACCCTGCTAATGTTGAAGTATTCAATGGATGAATGCCATACAGTCTGAAAAATATCCATGAGAGCACTCCAGTCCACTGACACATTTGTCAGTGTCAGATTTTGTAACTCAGAGCCTTGTCTGAAATTAGATAATAAAACTACCAATTTTTTTACATTGTCATTTGTGATTTCTGACAACGACAGGTTTTCTGTAGTATTTTGTATCACAACCCAGTCAAAACTAGATTTGGACTGATGTCTATTTGTATATAGGAGTGGCAGGCTCTTGATTTTTTGGTCAGAACTATTTTCTGGAAAACTGTTAGAAACAGGTGTAAGGGGTTCATTTTCCACAGACAGGCTGACATGGTTCCAAAAAGTTAATGCAAACAGACACTTGTAAACAAAAAAGTTTCTAAGAGAGCTCGTATTTTCTGACATACTGCTTTTTGTTTCCTTGGAGATGTTCAAAACTTTTCTATCTGTCCATCTTTGTTCTAATCCTGTTGGAAAACAAACAAACAAAAGCAAAAACCAGATTGTGTTATTAAGGAGCTATGCAGGGACCGTCAGAGCAATAGATTTTTTTAAGTTTCCAATTTCTCATTTTTCCCTTTGACTCAAAAAGCAATGAAGGTGCCTATTATCATTCAGGAGAGACATTATTTATTAACAGAACACCACTGAAAATTTCATTTGGTAAATACGTTGTATTTAATACATAATGAGTCAGTTTCTTAGAAAGCATGTCTGATTTCATAGCTGACTAAAATTTGCTGCTTACTTACAGAATTACTGCTGTGATTCAATGTATTATGAAGGCTTCCCACAACTGTGCAATATACTTCAATTAGAAAGTACATTAAGTGAGATTCTCTCCCGAAATACGTGAACTAGACTCAGAGACATCATTTTAAAATGCACTTGTGACTATAAAACTTGGACTGAAACTTAGGATGGAGGTTCAAGAGTCTGAATCAAAATCTGGATGTCTTTAGGTAGCTGAGATTGGATCCTCGGTGCTTATTTTAACTGGGAAAACTGGAGCAAGGGTTCTCTACTTATGCCATGAGAAAGTCCAGAGAAAAGTTTGCTTCTTGTCTGAGCTTGAGTATTTTCTGAATTTAGACTCTGAAAGTGGGGGATCCACTCGTCTAGTTTGTCAGGTGTACACAGAGGACACCAAACACACACTGGGAATATCTGCATGCTAAACAAAAATATACCAGTCGTAGAACCTCTGTACACAGAATCCAGCCCTGACCTAAGGTCACTGACCTCAAATGTCCCTGTTGTGAAAGAAGGGCTAATTTAAACACAGTTTAGTGGGAAAAAACATCATAACCATGGGTTTGCTTTGATTTTCCTAATGGAGGTCACTTTTTCTTTCTGAATGTAGGAGCTTAGGGTAGCCAGCCTCCCTTTAAGTCAGTAGCTGTGAATGCTGCCTTAAATCTCCTTTTAGATATTGCCATAACTCCATCAGACCACCCTTCCGAAAGAGGAACTGATAAGAACTTAGTTAGCACTTTCATACACGTAAATCTTGATTGAAAGTTGTTTTCTGGATTTCTGAAATCCTTTTATTTCCCCTTTTCCCTTTTACCATCCCATTACTTTCTAATCATAATTATTGCCTGAAGCTTTCCACAGTACACATTAATGACTGCACTGGCTTTCAACTTTCTCTTGATATTAAAATGGCTAAATTGTGAGTATATATTTTAAGTGCCTCTACATGAGGCAGAAAGAGCTATCACTTGTTGGACTAAATTTACAGCCTCAAGGACTACATCCTCTGTGCCATTAACCATTCCACAAGTTTTCTCAGAATTACACTACTGGGTGTAAAATATACATTCTCCTTGATCTGAAACAACCTATATTATGAAATCTCAACAGTACAACAGCAACAAAAAAAAACCAGTCCACTGAGTTCTTTCGTAAAGAATGCATTAAACTAGGCTTGGAAATCATCTAAAAATAGTTGGATAATATGGCAAAACTTTTCCAGCCTTTTTCAGATTTTCATTTGGAAAAATTATATTCGCCGTAGCCCTTAATAGGGATCTGGCCATCCTCTATCCTATTCTTCTGATTGTTTGGGTAATTCTACTAATGTATAAACAAATAAAATATGTAGCTTCATGAGAAATTAAAAAAAAATCTACGTTTAAATCATTATTCCTTCTTGGGATAAAATTTCAGTAATATCCAAGGACTAGATGAGAGAAAGATATGATTCATCCATATTTTTATTTTCTTTCTCATTCCTATATCCTGGCATTCAGTCAAATTATTTACGAGTACCTTCAAACTTCCTTTAGAATATCCTATGAAGCAACCGAATCAAAAACTGTTATAACACATAACCTGTGATCTGGGGGCTAGTGCTGGAGAAATTATCCTTTATAGTCATATTCCTTTTAATTCACAAGTGTCCTCAAGTCTTCAAACTTGACAAAAAGTACTTGCTATCAAGAAAAGCAACCCAGGTGGGTATGCAAACCAAGATCACAGCAAGAAATTGTCCTGTTGTTTAAAGAGCGAGAGAAGAGATCAAAACTGAGGTTTTAAGAGTTTTTCCAATATAAAATTGGTATAAACTGACTAAACTTTCGTATAAGAAATGTACAGAATATATTGAGCTATGGAGGTTCAATATTAAGATATGCACTTCACAAGTTATCACCCTAACACAAAACTCTAGTGTTACAAGTATGCCTTTCACAAGGATGAAATATATTATCAAGTTAGACCCATTCCTGAACTGTACAAAAGCTATTTTCATTAATTCACTGTGACCCCCTTAGCTGTGGGTGTAGTGCTAATACAAAGAGATTGCTATTTGGTCAGCTTCTTTGAATAAGAACATAAGCAACTTTACCCTCATTTCTTACCCACACACTTGAAAGTACACCATAAACTTGCTAATAACCCTCTGTGGAAAACATGGGTCATTTTCAAATAAGATGTAGAATAGAAAACAGTTCTAGCTAACCATATAAAATCAGTAAAATGAAAACTTGCTCACCAGAAATCCCTGCTCTCCGAAAAAGCAGAAAATGTACTCAGGAAAAGACAAAAAGAAAACTTCCTGTAATTCTATCCTACTGAGTAACAATATTTAGGAACGCCCAAACTTTTTATACAAATGTTTGTGCCATCTACTGACAGCTTGTAAAATGGCATTTGCTTTCCTCCAGACATATTTTCCACATACAACACTACTGTAATATCCGTATTATTCAATTATTATTGAACTATGTGTTTTCGTGCTTTGCAATAGATTAAACGGGGGAAAATTAATCTTTTTACCAACTTCCTGTCTCTGTTAATTAATATGAAAATAAGTACTCTGAGCAAGTTTTACACTGAAATTCAAACATCTCCTCTGAACTTAATAATGATCTAAGTTTACATGCATTATTGTGATTTTTTTTCCATTTTGATATACCGATTCAGTAGTCAAGTTATTATCAAGGTTGGTTTATAAAAGTACCGTTTGTCTTAGTTTAATTCACATTTAATGGGAATGGAAAAATAATCTCTCTCCTGCTCCAGCAGTGTTGTGATTGGGTTAAACAGAGGACACAGAAACAGTGGGTAGGGTTTGGTTTTCATTGGGTTTTTTTAATTAAAACAGAGCAGTGACTTCAGTATTGAATGCCCAAACACAGGGTTATTGTCCCAGCAAAGACATAAACCAGTCTTTCTTTATTTCTGCATAATGTTGGTCAGAAATTCTACCATAGCTGAGATCTAAATATAGAACTGCCACAATACAACCTACCTTACTGGGTTAGCATACCACAACTCATTCATGATTTAACACTTCAATGATTCAATGGTCTTGTACAGAATCCACAAAACCGACAGCGCAAGATCCACGTTACAGTCAAAATCACCATCTCTCATGGGTAAAACAATCTCCAGCTATCATGATTCCCCTATGACGCTACCCTTCCACAAGCTCCACTGAAAAGCAGAGGGAAATCCATAAGACCACTCTAGATTTCATTTTCAATAAATACATCTAACATTAATAAATTAAAATTCTCTGACACTTAAATTCTCACTGGAAGACCCTCAAAAGAAACGTATTACTTAGGCATACAAATATTTGTTCTGCTACCACCTACCTTAATGAGAAACTTCAGAGACTTTTTCCTGATAAGCGTGTAAGTCACACATCATGATAGGTATTTGTAATGCACATTTCTGAAAACTGTGGCTTTATTTTGTGGCCTCCTACAGTATCTCTCCTCAGTGATTCACAACATGTTATTTTGCCTCCTGTGGTAACAGTAATTTTTTTCTTTGGCAGACTACTGACAAAAATGATGTTATGATAAATTGTGGAACTGCTTTTATCATCCTAAAGGACATGCTTCGCCTTAACATAAAGTGGTAAAAAGAGGAAGGGGTATGAGGAACTACAGAGATAAAAAACACAGGTTGTTGGGCAAGAGCCTGCAAACCCTTTGCTCAACCCAGTATTTCTTTGGTGGCTGCAGGCACCCAGTGTCAACACCAACTGACTGGAAATGTGTGCATGTACCACCTAGCTTCTGTCAGAGGCATTTCCTGTAAACACAGTGATAACGAGGGTGTAAAGCAGCATATGAAAAGCTAAATCTCAGTTGTTTAATTCTGTAACCCCATGCATCGGTAGGTGCTCCTTTTGAGGAAGGATTAAACTTTCTAAAAAGGATACAATAAATTTTGATGCCAGCTCAGTGACTAGACTCATTGAAACTTAAAATGCCCCAGTATGAACATTATCAGTTTGGCCACAACAAATTATCTAGCATACAGCTGAATAACCACAACTGGCTAAGGGGTTGGGCACAAAGGGTTATAGTCAATATGGAGTAACATCAGGCTGGCAACCTGTCTCTAGTGGGGTTCAGCAGGGCTGCATCTTAGGCCCTGTGCTCTTCAACATCTTCATTAATGACCTGGATGCAGGACTCAAGAGAATACTCTTTGTTGATGACACTAAGCTACTTGGGAGGAGTTGTCAACTCCCTCCAGGGCAGATAGGCCCTGCAGAGAGACCTCAACAAATTAGAGAGATGGGCAATCACCAGCCATATGAAGGTGCTGGATTCTGCACCGGGGACAGGGCGATCCTGGTTGTATGTATAGAGTAGGGAACAAGAGGTTGGAGAGATGTGCTGAAGAAAGGGACCTGGGGGTCCTAGTCAATGGCAAGATGAATTTGAGTCAGCAGTGCCCTGGCAGCCAGGAGGGCCAACTGTGTCTGGGGCGGGCATCAGGCAAAGCATCACCAGCTGGTCGAGGGAGGGGATTGTTCCACTCTGCTCTGCACTGATGAGGCCTCACCTTGAATATTGTGTGCAGTTTTGGGCACCACAGTAAAAGGATATGAAGCTATGAGAGTGTCCAAAGGAGGGTAATGAGGATGGTGAAGGGACTGGATGGGAAGCCATATGAGGAGCAGATGAGATCACTTGGTTTGTTCAGCCTGGAGGAGACTGAAGGGAAACCTCATTGTGGTCTTAAACATCCTCAGGAGGCAAAACAGAGGGGCAGGTACTGACCAGCGACAGGACTCGAGGAAACGGCATCAAGCTGAGTCAGGCAAGGTTTAGGTTAGATATGAGTAAAAGGTTTTTCACCCAGAGACTGGTTGAGCACTGGGACAGGCTCCCCGGGGAAGTGGTCACAGCATCAAGACCGACAGAGTTCAAGAACAATGCTTGAACAACTGAGTTCAAGTTGCACGACGCTCTCAGGCACATGGTGTGATTCTTGGGGGGGTCCTGTGCAGGGTCCGGAGCTGGACTCGATGATCCTGATGGGTTCCTTCCAATTCAGCATATTCTGTGATTCTATAAAATTTACCCCTTTTCCGCCTCAGCGCGGACGCGGGGGATGCCGCCCGCGCCTGAGGGAAGCGCTTCTCCACCCGCGCCCGGCGCTCCCGGCCGGCGCCCGCCTCGCCTCCCCCGCCGGGACACCGCCGGGACACCGCCGCAGCCCGATCCTCGGGGGCCATGAGGGGCGGTAATGGCGACCAGGGCCGCTCTCCGCTGTGGGTCAGCGCAGCCTGGAGCTCGGGGGCAGCTCGGCAGCGGCGCGGAGCGGACCAGCCCCTTTGCTACAGGCGGGCGCCTCAGAGAGCCAGAAGCAGCGCGAAGCAGAAGCGCCAGCCCTCCCTCCTCCCTGCGGGCTGGTCGTCCCGGGCTGTCCGGCGCACTTTGCCTCCTCCCCCCGCTACTGCCGACGTGGCGGGGCGGGGAAGGGAAGAAGAAGGGGGCGCGTCGGCCGGGGCACTGCTGAGCGGTAAGGAACGCGGCGATTTCTACTTTTTCTGCCGCTTCTGACACTGCGGACTCCTCACTACACAGCTCTGCTCCAGAGAGGATTTCGAAAAGAGGGGGGAGAAAAGGGAAGGGGGAAGCTGTGGCCGCTGCGGTCTTGTGGGAGCGGCGCCCTGGCTGCTCTGCCCTTCCTGGGGCAGGGGGACAGCGGGGCAGCGGGGCAGGGCGAGCTGGCGCCAGGGGTGTCGCCTGCGCTCGCCGCGCCCGCAGCGTCCCGCGGAGGAGAAGCGACAGCGGGCGTCGAGCGAGAGGGGAGCGCGGTGCCGCCGCCAGAAAAGTTATCTCTCAGGCATGGGGACGGTGGTCCGTGCCCAAAGGCGCCCGGCGGCGGCTGGGATTTGCCTCGGAGGCGGGATGAAACCCCTCGGGCGGAGGGTCGGCAGGTGCCGCCACCGCCGGCCCCCTTAGGGCGGCCCGTTCCGGCTGGTCGGTGCGGGCCGGGCGCTCCTCTGCCGCCCTGTCCGGAGCTGGCCTTGGCATCTCCCTCACGAACTCTCTGTAGATTAATTCCCTTTGGGCAGAGTTGTCCGGGTTGATTTGGATCAGGATAGTCTCACGGATGAGAGGTTGAATGACTCCTTACCCCGGGTGCAGCACGTCTCGTGTGTTCTGACAGATCTGGTAATTTGCTATTACGTGCCTTGCTCCTGTAAGGAAGATTTAGCAGACAACTGCAGAGACCGTGGCCTGAGTGGTCCCCAAAGATGACCCAGTCTTGCAAAAATTCGTGTGTACACGTCTGTGCAATTCTTAAAAAAGTACCCGGGCTCACTCAGAGCTGATCTCCGAGCAAAATGATGAAGTATGTGTGTACAGGTTTTAGAGGTTTTGGTAGAGGATTCTCATCTCTGATGATGGACTTTTTTACCCATCACGCAGGGCGTACTGTTAAAACATTGACAATACTTACCTATACTAAAACATTTTATAGCATTTGCTGTATTTGTCATGGAGTACTTTTGGCAAATGCAAAGATTCTGACTTGTAAATGCATGTTTGCTGATGATAATTAAGGTTCATATAAGTTGGTATAATATAAGCGGTACCAAATGCTGTTTATTTATTTTCTTGTTCACTGATACCCAACGCTACTCTTGGAACTGTTCAAGCAACCGATCTTCCTTCAAGTGAGATAAACAGGCTGTTAAACCCACATATCTATACAATTCTATAGACTTTAATAAAATATACTCATTTAAATACTTACTTCTCAGGCAAATTTCTCCTAAATCCCAGTTATATTTTGCTTTTTTGCCTTTTTTTCCCCATTCTTCCGTCTCGCAGAACCTCATTTCTTCCTGTCAAGTACAAAGCTTTGAGCCATATTTAATTAATATGAGAGTCAATGAAAAGGCAACATCTATGGGGAGAACTGTATGAGTTTATTTTATGCCATGCAACTCAGCACAGTCAGGAGCTTGCAAGCTCTGTCAAGGGTTGTCTTCTGAGTAGAGTACCGGGTATATTGTTGTTGCCAACAAATAAGTGGTAGTAATCACTGTACAGTAGTCCTTTGGACTCTGCCAGTGCCACTCCTTAATCAACTGTAGAGCTTGCTCAATGGCCATATCTTTTCTTTGTGGATCCTCAGCCAGATGACTGCACAGTGGTGCAAAATACCTCCAAAGTTACATTGGAAGATAAGGAGTAAATAAGAGAAAACTGGTACGTAACTTTCAAAAAAGAAAAAAAATCAATAACTGTACCTCAAACAAGCTTACCTTGGCTTCAAAATTGAAGTTTAATCACACAGCTGGAATTTCAGGAGCGGGTGAGAAGCGTTGCACTTCCCAGAGAGCAAACCTTTGAGACAAGTGATGCAGAAACAGTGTAAGCAATAAATGTCTATGAAATGGCTCCAGGGACCATGGCCTGTCATGTTCACAAATTATGCCCCTTCTCCAACAGATAAATATCCCCACAGTTTTAGTCACACTGTGTTACCCTCCTCACCATTGGTCAGCAGCCTGTAGGAACCTGTGTATGTGGGGATGATGAAACAGAGAGGAAGAGCTGCTTGGCTGTTGCAGCTCTGATTATCCTGTTCTTCAGTGGTCTTTCATGCACACCTAATAGTGAATGTAAAAGTTAACCATGTGGGAGCTCTTACATTTAACTTCTTCAGACAAATGAAAATCCTTTCTCTCACTAAACTATATTTTGGAAAACAGTAGTGCTGCTCTTCATACTTGAGTGAGATCCTGCAAAGTGAATAGAGTATTTAGAGTATTATCCTGGTACCGGTGCCAGCAGGATGCATGTGCCATAGGGCTCCATGCTTTAGGAGGCCTAAACACTGTGTATTTTATAGTAATTCAAATGTTTATGAAACCTAAAAGACTTTGTTTTCTATATTCAGAATTGAAAATGTCTGAAGACATATCTGATGGCATCCCATCTGAAGAAAAACGTGAAGTAATGGAAATGCCCAGCAATGAGGTATTGCCTCCTGAATCAGTACCACACCTTGTAGAAGCTGAGATCTTGCATGAGTCTTCACAAGATGAACGTGGACAGGCCACTCAGAGTGCCAGTAATAGACAGGAAGGAGACATAGTAATTAATGAAAACCCTTTGACTGAAAAACTAGTTGAAGGTCTGCCTTCCAGTGAAGAGCCAACTGAAGACATACCCACTGAGTGCATTGAAACCGTAAACCTTGATACAGAACCTGAATCTGAAGAAACACTGCATGAACAAAGCAGTCCAGTAAGTAATACTTTCTTTTCTGTAAAAGCTCTCCCCTCCTTGGATTGTAAGGACAGAATTTTCTATCATGTACATGCTGTTTTTTGCAAAAACCTAGGGAGTTATATGAAGAAAACCTGCTTAGGGATAAAATAAATTAAATTGCAACACCAAGCTTTTGAAAACTAGGAATAGTTTAATTTCTCTTTGCCAGTATGATATTAATGTGGTCTTTCACATCTGACTGCAATAAAACTTGCATTATATAGGGATTATATGTTACTGGAGGCTTCCTTGAGAAAACAGTTTCTTAATATGATTTAAATATGGAATACTGATAATTGCTTAATGCTACACATTACTGTAGAAGGTGTGCAGCCCCTCCTTTGGCTGAGTTTATTGAACTCAGTTGTTATTAGTTCCCTGTGCACATTTACTGAATTGCACGTGTGAGGAGGCTCAGGAAGAGAAGCATCCAACTCTGGCTTCTGGTAAAACCTAGAAAGGAGGCAGGTTCCTGCCTCTCCCTAATAATAACCTTAGTAAACTTGTATGGCTTTATTAGATTTTATACCTGAAGAAATATTAGGACATCTGTAAAGACATCTCTGGAGTTTTAGGTGCTTTCAGGAACAGGCAATGTGAACGACGCCTTCCGTTCTGCTTTCTTATGCACAGAAGCTTGAACTTCGCATAATATCCAATCTATCATCGTTTATCAAACACTGGACTCTGTTGCTGACGGGTTCTTTGTGTTTCCTCCTGCCTTTTGAGAGCAGGAATTTTAAACAGTGGAGTAACATTTTTCTCTTACAGGCCACAGACTCCTCATCTAAAGCAAGTAGATGGGGAGCTTGGGGTACCTGGGGAAAGTCTCTCCTGTCATCAGCTTCTGCCACAGTAGGTAAGTGTTCAGTCAGTAAAGTGCATGGAAATAATTCATAGTTTTAATGTGTCATTAGACACATTAGTGTTGCATCTTAAGGTTTTATAGATAGTTTTGTCCTGATATGTTGGGAAGCATGATTTTATTAATTAGGAAGATGGACCTTCCTAAACTATTGAAGCACATAAATATTTCTTTGGGTCAAATCATGGACAAGGTGCTAGGCTTGATTGTACAGTTAGTGAATAACCTCATTGTGGCTTCTTCACAGAAAGGATCCATTATCTGATACAATTACTATCAGTCTTATGGTTTCTGAAGTCAAAGCACTGCAACCCAGATTCGTGCTCATGCATGTTGGTGGTTTATACACTGTGGCTTCTGCCTTAACAATAAGAATTCACTCCTCATAAATCATTCCAGCTTTCATTGCCACCAGGTGAAACTGTTAAGCCGTCACACCAGACTTCAGAGAGTAGAACAACATATTGAAATATGGGCCCTAAACTCCCTCTTGTGTACTCTCATTTCCAACAGTATGTCAGTACAAAATGTCCCTGTGAAGACTTTAGGTAAAACTTAATCGTTGCTCATCGAAAACTCACAGCCAAAAGGCGAAGGACACAAATATGTAGTAACCAGTGGGAAATAATTTCTCACAAAACAGAAATGTTTTGTAACAAAAAAGCTGTTAGCTGGTCAGTTCTCATAATGAATCCACAAAATACCTTTACAAGATGAATCTAGGAATGAAAATTACTAGTTACTAAAAATAATGGGTTTAACAGAGATACTAGTTTTATGATCCCGTACAAGGCTAAATAATTCTCCTTATCTCCTCTGTTCCATGGACAGTAAATTGTTTCTGTCTCTTTCTCAGAGGAGGGAAGTTTCCTTGTCCTCTCTTTTTTTCAGTTACATCCACAGTCAGGAGTACATAACTACCTTTTCTTTCACAGTCCAACCAATTAACATTTCTAATTAAATTCAGAGTAGGTTTCTAAGATATGTTTAGATTTGTAGAAATGAAGGTTGTTGCTGAAAGGAGCAGGCCTGCTCTGCCCCAGCAATGTATTTCTTCCTTGTCTTATGCTAACAGTAGCCCACATGTAATGATGGGGGAGCTGCTTTATGGGACTCATTTTGGAAAGTGCAACTGAAGTAAGAGCTGGATCTTTGGGCTGGATCAGTTTGTAAATTCCCCCATCTGGCTCACCATTTGATCCCGGAATGCTATTGAATGGGAAATGATGGGAACACACAGAACAGGCCAATGGGAACAAGAGCAGCTTAACTATCTGTGGAACTGCATAAGTGTTCTTAACTTGCATTTAACCTTAAAGTTCAGCGTTTGTCTTTCAGACTTGAAGAAGAACCTCTGTGCCAAAAATGTTGCCTTTTTTTTTTTTCCTCAGGCTGTTAGGTATAATAAAGGGTACTGCTTTCACAGACTTCCAAAAAACTTTGCCTCTTGCATTCTCAAACCACCATAAACAACAGCATTCTGAAAAGAATCTGGCTTAGTGTAATAACTAACAGTTGATCAGTTAGAATTGTGATGCTGCTGAATTTTGCAGTTAATTTTTAGAATTGAAGCAGTGGATTTCTTGGAACAGAGCTCTTTCAGGCTATTTAGTTTTTGTCTGCAAAATAACCATATTTACATTCTGCTTAGCTTTTGCAATAAATAGTATTCTATCAAATGGCCATTAAACAGCTATTTGTGAGCAATAAGATTATTTGTTACCAAACAGTTACTGTTGTTGTAGGCTTGCAGTGGCAATCTCACAGTCTTCTGTTGCTGAGAGGTTTTAGCCTCATGGAGCAATCAGTTTAGTGTCAGCAAGTGTATATATTTCCAGTGGGGCAGTACAGCCATAGGTATTTTCTTGCCTGACTGACATGAGCTTGCGTGAAAATGATGAATGCTGTTGGAAAAAGTTTAGGAGACAAACAAGAATGTGTGTTGTAGCCCTTCTTATTGTCTGATAAATCAACAAGACATATCTTTTTGCAGCCGTTTGTTGCTTTTGTCTATAAAACCTGCTTACAGAGTTGTATCTCTGTGCATTTCCATGGACTTTTTAATGATGTGATCTCATTTTTATATAGGCCTTATAATGTCTTGGTTCATATACAGTAAAAATCCATGTTTAATTGATACTGACTTCTTAACATATCATCTGACTGTATCAGCATCATAACTGTCTTCACAGAGTGTAAGTATGTGAACAAGTTTGTGTAGGCAGCCTGACTTGATAAGGTTGTGTGATGTCTATTTTGAACAGGCATTTCGTCACCATGGATGTATATTTTTAAAATTATTACAGTCTAAAAATGAGCATAGTTGGAACAAATCAAGTTGCCTTGGAAAAGGAGCATCCACATGCAGAAAAGGAAAAGGAAAATTTAATTTAAATTTTACGTGAAAGTGGTTGTGCTATGTCCCACTGAAGACCCATCTACTCTCTAGTTTCTGGCAGTGACCAAGAACAGCTGGGAAAGTACCTAAGACCAGATGTATGTAAAGCAGCAGTTCCCCCTGTTTTCTCATTTCCTGGAATCTACAGCACAGACAGACTTCCTGAGCCTGAGATCGGGGTAGGGTTGAGTTCCCATGTTACTAGCTAATAATTTTGAATCTAACTTTGTGAATTTATTAAATAAAATAGACTTTGAATTAAGCAGAAATCAAATGTACTTTTTTCCATTTCACTGAACCCAAGGTAACTTGAAAGACCACATAGATAGTCTTAGATTTGTTCCAGGAAATCAATGTACCAGGTAATAGTTCATATTCCTGATATAGAGGGCTTATTTCCTAGTTGTTTGTTATGGAAATTCATGCTTGATCCTGTGAAGTACTTTTTGTCTCTCACTGTCATAGACAGGATGTAGGACTGTGTAGACCACATATCTGCTTCAGTATGATAATTCCTAGTGAGAGACAAAGAAAAAAAATTGAAGCTTTTGGGAATTTCTATAGCTTTCTTCTTATTGTTAAATATTGATTATTCCGCTTCAAGTTACTCCATTTAATGTCTGAGCAGTTCAACTAATGTTTCATCTCCTATTCTTCATCAGAAAATAGTTTTGCAATGATCCAGTCCATCGTAAAGTTACTTATTCTTTCAGTGTAGCAAGTGGTATAAGTAAAGCTACTTTCTTGGAGTTAAGACTTAGCAGCAAAACCTTTGGTATGTGATTTTTCTGTTTCTCTGTCGTCATATTTGTACAACACAGCTCCCTGTCTGGTGAACTATGACAAATACATACTATTCCTTATATTTTTCTTCAAAATTGTACTTTGTAAAAATACCAGAAACAGTTTGAAGACTAAATAACATTTTAAAGGTCTAACCGAATACATTCTGCTTTTAACAAATAGTATCACAGAAGAACATAGGTTGGAAGGGACCTTGAAAGACCTTCTAGTCCAGGGTTTTGTGGGAAAGGTTTTGTGCATCTAGATGAGATTATTAGCATACTGTCCAGTCACATCTTGAAAACCTCCAGCACTGGGAACTCTACCACGTTCAGTCCCAGTGAGGTGTTCCAGTGAATGATTGTTCTTACTGTAAATAAATTTTCTTACATTGCTACCTATTTAAGACTGAGTTGAAATGGTTGCTCAAAGGATCTCAGTTTTGTTATCCTTCAAACTCTGATATAGAACTCACAAACACATTAGCATTTTTACTGCTTGGTTGTAATTTGTTTAGCATAACTCATTTTAGTTCCTAATAATAAGGCAGTTTCCACGTAATTTGTATCTCATTTCTCTTTAACTAACCCTGCACATACACCCAGGGATTATTTTGGTGATAGCTAGTCCAAAGAAAATGTCTGTTGTCTTTGAACTGATTTTGACATTATTTAGATCAAGGTCCCCACAACAAGGCAGTTGTGATACTCCTCTACACAACAGAGTCTGTAATGCCTTTGGATTAGTAGCAGTCACTGCCTAAACCATGTTTGAGGTCTGACACTAGATGTCACACTAAGCAAACTATTGAATTGGCTTCATCAATGAAGTGAAGCGATTTCTTTTGTTTTTAAAAGTACAAAAAATTTGAGGCTCCCCTTGTGGAACCACAATGGAGTAGAGACACTGAAATAGTTGCTAGAATGATGAAATGGGAGAAGTAGGTTCACTGTGATCTGGAGGCACAACTTGTCACACTAATTATCACCATTTTAGTCTCTTTCTTTTATATTGTATTTTTCAGTAAATCAGCCATTACACCATTTTAGTAACAGGGTTGATAAAACTCCCCTCTAACAGTAGGTGACCATTGGAGCTAAGCCAATTAATGGCTAGTAGCCACTGAAATGTGCAGTCCTACACTTGTCTTTTCCTTGCATTGTTTCCTTTTCTCCCTGTGCCAGCACTCATGCTCTTCTGAGCTCCCTGTAATCCAGTTTGGGAAGCTAAACTGACGTAAGAATAACTCCAGAGGAAAGAAAAATCCATTTTCTGCCTCCTCAGTCCCTTGAACCTGAGATCAGTGTGAGGGCAAGCAGAAGGGACAAGTACAGAACATGGGAAGGAGCAGAACCTCCCATATCTGCGCCAAGAACCATTATGTTAGCTTAGCTGCAACAGCAAACATACGTGAGGCAAAATACATTTTCAGTCTGTACTGGAAGCTTGTGACTTCCATTTTTAAAAGAACTTGTATGCTTGAAAGCTTGCCTGGTTGATTTTTCTTCCAGCTAAGCTGTCTGCTAGCTTAATGAAAGTGACTACTTTCTCCTACAAGCCTTTGTCTTTCATATACAGTGTTGTTTTGGATGAGTTACGGCATTCATAAGGTGCTGAAGTTACAGTGCTCAAAAGCTACATTTCCAAGCCAAGTCTGTTCTCTGTCATACTGTATGCATGTGCTTCACTCCGTGTAAGTTTAGGATGTTTTACCTTTAGGGCCATGGCTAAGACTAACATCTGTCAATACCTCTTACACAGTAAAAGTAGTAAAAAAAGTAACCCAGCTGTTTCATTCATGTGGTCTCTGAAATTCATAGTATAAAACTGAGTCTCTCTCATGCAGTGTTTGCAATTAATGTTCTGCTATCATGATTATTTTGTTCTTGTGCATATTCCTCATCTAGTTCCTTAGCTATCAGAATGGCATGTGAAAATATCAGACACCCATAGGTATGTATTTCCCTGGTATGCCAAAACCCATTTTTTGTCACTCGGTATGACAGAGTGAAATGTCACTTGAGATATCACTGTGTTCATGAGCTTGGATATTATTTGGGTATGTGTAATAATCAGCATTGCATAGTTTAAGTTCACGTCTGTCTGGAATGGAATGCAAATGCTTCTGATAATGTGAAAGTAAAGTATTCAAACATGGTGAATATCTTTTCCATTCTCTGTAGATACTATTTCCCTGTGTGAAATAAAGTACAATATTAAAACAAAAAAAAGGCTGGGTGTTATGCTTGTACTTTATGTGATCATAAAAAGGATAGTTAATCTCTTCAGAAGACTTTTTTTTTATTGCATAAATTCAGGTGATTCAGGGAAAACTGCTTTGAGCCTGAAATGGCATGGTGGTCACTCACCTGTTTTGTAAATAACACAGCTGCTGTAGCAACAACCTTCTTTTTCACAGTTCTTCCTTTTTAAGAATTCAGAATGCAAGTAACAGGTGGGAGGAACTGTGGGCATGCTTTTGGGGCTGGCAGTCCTGTTTGCTGTCTTTATGTCTTTTGACATGAGCTTATAGTTTAGAAGAGATTGAGAACCAATAAATTGTTGTAACAGTCTTTATGCCTGTTGCTATTATTAAAACCTTTAACCATTGCAATAAGAAGATCCGAATCAAGTCTCATCTGTTATCTTAATTGGAGATTTATAGATTAGATAGGATAGGTACTATGTGAATCTAGCCCATGTTTTTGTTTTAACTACAAGGAAGAGAAATTTCTGCAGGCTTGAAGTGACTGGAGTGCCAATACAGTAGCCTAAAAGTGAGCACAATGGGGTCTGACTTTGTAGTGTACAAAACCCAAGCACAGCTGGCTTTTCTACATCTCTATACTTCGTGTAGTGGAGTGATTCTCTTCCAGCCAGCTTCAGGGTCCTTAGTTTCTCAGTGAAACTAAGGAAACTAAGCATCTGGTGAAAGATGCTAATTTAAGGCCTCAGTCTTCATCTTTAGCTTGAACGAGATGAAGCTTCACTCATCTTACTAGACTAAATTTTGATGAGCTGTTCATCAGAAGTGCCCCATGGTACAACACAGGTTACAAAGACTGTGTGGTAGCCAGGAACAAATATCTCAAACTCTTCCTCCCTATCTGCACCACTGAAGTAGGGATTCCCGTTGCCTGGGAATACTAGATGGATGAGGGACAGAGATTCCTACAGAGGGCGGTTTAGATTTCAGACGTGCTGAACTGACCCCCAGAGGTGTCTGTTGGCCTCTTTCAGCTCTGCAGGGAATCCAAAGCTACTAAGCTGGGGGGTGGAAGATAAGAGAGCCTGCAGTGAAGTGGGATATGACTAAAAGCATTTGTGAGTGCTGTAATCTGGCCTTGAGCAGATCGGGCAAACCAAAAGGCAGGTCACATTGTTAGGCACTGCTTGCAAAACCTTCCTCAGATCCCAGCAAGCAACAGGAACAGTAATATTCTGTTGAGATTGCCAGCCAATAGAAAGGCAAGGAATCATAGAGGCACGAGAAATAAAAGCAGCAACACAAGGGAAAAAACGTACTTTCTTCCAAAAGCATGGGGTTAACAAAACCCATTTCATAGGTCTTCTGTTACAGATGAGTAAATGGGTACGTCAGAGGTGTTCCTAAGTTTACAATATCAGCTCAGTTGCATTACCACACAGACTATAACAAAACCAGTGCATCCTTATCTCTAAAATATAGGCTTATCTCCCATGACCTCTTTTATTTGTGTGCCTTTTGAAACTACAAATAATAATTTTCATTTCCAAAACAACATGTACTTCTGCCATGTTTGTGCATGTGTATCTAACTGTTGCTTCAGTTGTGGTCTTCTGATCTCATCTGGTTTTGCTGTTGTAGTCAAATATATGTGCCATACAGCTCACTTCAGGAAAGCCACCTCTTGCTGACCTAGAATATTTTCTTAGCATTCTAGTGCATGTAACCACAGCCCCCAAAATGCTGCCTTTTTTAAGTCTGTAAATATCAATACAGCAAATGTGTGCCCTCTCTTCTTGGAAATACTAGTTTGTCTGCAAAACTATGAGAACCAATTGAAAGCTATTCAACATAAAAATTAAAATTAAAAATGTTTAGATACAGAAAAAAGAATGAGAAATTAATCTGAAAATCCATAACTTTCACACAGAGTTGAAATTTTTGCTTGATGTTCATAGGGGCTTTTTATATAATTACAGGACCATAGTACTATGTTAGCAAGTCCAGTCAGTTAAGTCAATGGGAAGAATAGAACTCTCTTGCTCATTTAAAAAGCTGTGAGCAGAAGAAATGGAAAGGAATGTGACATGGAGTACCTATTACATTAGTTTAAAAGCACAATTAATAGTCATGTAAGTAAAATCTAGGAATTTGGGGATTAAATTAATTATTCCAGAATCTATTCATGCTAACATTTTCATTGTACCCATCAAAATATGCAGGAGATTGGGATTAGACTAAGAAGTACGCTGCTGTCCAGTATCTGCATTGGAACAGACTTTGCAAAAGGCAAGAAGTTTTCCAGTAATGACTTGAATCACTGTGGTGCATCACCTGGTATGTCCCATACAATTGGATGTACTACTGCAGCTTGTAAGCCATGAGATGAAATAGACAAAAGTCATTTGTTTTCTGTAGACAAGTAAAAGCATTTACCTTCCTAGGCTCCTTGTTTCAGTGTAAAACATCAGGACCTCATGCAGCTTACAAATTCCTTGTTTCTGCTGGTCTGTTCCTTAGGGGATATCTGTTCTTTGTGTGTTCCTTCAGATACTCCAGTTTTCTTGTACGTGGTCTTTCAGTAGTGCTGTTTCGCATATGTTTTCTAGAGTATATTTATTACTGAATTCATAGAGCACCTGATGTGCAAGCCATCTGGAAATCATAGAATCATAAATCTAAGCTTTCCTTTTTCCTACTCCATTTCAGATAGGTGTGCTGCGTCTTTATTTTAATCAGATGTTCAAAAGCATATTTATATGACTACACATACGCTTATATGTATATGTTTATTTAGAACACTGCAGAGCACTGGCAAGTGATAGGCTATTTTGTTGTAGTTAATATAACTCAGAAAAGATGCTTGGAACTTCTCTACTAGAATGCACACAGTTGTGGGAAAGTGTGGGCAACATTAATGAATCATTATGCTTAACTCAGATGTCTAGATATTTGCCTGAGCATCTGTATTAATACCTTTTCTGCAATAATTTATCTATTTATAGTTCAATTCAACCAAAGAAGTAGGAAATTGTCGTTAACACTTCTCATAAGTAGTTAGGCAAATAGTTAAAGCAGTTTAGATTGTCCAACTGCCAGAAGTGATCGGCTCTATGTGAGATGCAGTAACAATGTATTGTGCAAGAAAAAGTCACATCCTGTCACTATAGGTATTTCATTTTGTGTTGGAAAGAAATATTGCTTGTCTGGTTTGTTGTTCACTTTTTGCACCTCAGCTGATATGCAGAAACTACCAGCTAAGGAAGATGTACTAGCTGGACTGTTTGTAATGAGAGAAGCATACCATGGACATACTTGTGGACATATCCAGAAGCAAAATAGGCAGACAATTTTAGAGTAATCTTTTCTAAGGACAGCATTTTTCAACTATGCTTGGTGCAGATTAGGAAATGTCATAGTTTGAAATGCTCAAACTGCCACAGAAGATATTGCCTCCCCTTGCTAACTACCAGTCAATCCACCCTATCCTAGGATGTTACCAGTCCCTGTGATCTGCTAGTGTAAATAAACTCTGTGTAGAAAAGTAATCCTGTTCTGTCAAAAATATTCAGATAAAAATGGTAAAAACATTTATTCTTTATATTAAACTAGACCATTTTAATAGAGGGCTAGGGAGCCATCAGCTAAAGGTATCAAAATCTGCATAGGAGATAAGCTACCACAGGAACAAGAATTCTGTCTCTGTGAACTGACATCAGCAGACTTTACAGAGTATGTTTAAATAGTAGCTTTGAGGGGAGATACTTTAGAATTTGACCTCAAATGAGCAACTGAGGAGCTAAATCCTGAAATAACTTTGAGGATTGGAGTCAGTATTCATAAAATACTTACCTGACATAGCCCCTGTGCAGAAGACTGAAGAACAAGTTACTTACTTCAGCTCTGCAGACACACACAGCTCATTAATTTCAAGTTAATTGTTCTAGACTTTTGAAAACCAGATGAGGTCAAACCCTATGGCCTCAGGAAGACCATCAATTTCTGTTTAAACTGATTGCAATAGAATATTTAGCATTTTGAAAAACAGGGATTCAGACTAACATGTGCCACTGAAACAAATTTGACTTTTCAGAACCAGTGTAATTTGTATTATATTTCAGTTTTATAATTTCTATTCAGTTATTATACTAGATATAGTAGAACAAGTGAATTATTAACCTAGAAAAAATTAGGCAATTGAGGTAAGTTTAATAATTATTTTGATTGTCAGAATTTATGGAGTATAAGAATACTGCGCACTGCTATTTATGTTTTCAGGTCATGTAATTTAAAATCTACCTCTGCTGCAGGTCATGGAATAACAGCAGTAAAGGAAAAAGCAGGAACTACCCTAAGAATTCATAGTGCAAGTTCAGCATCTTCAGAAGCAGCAGAACCTCCTACAGCTGAAACACCAATTACACGTAAGTTCAAGTTCACCGAAATTGGACAAAACTCTTTGACACTGCCAATTAGTTCAATTTACAAAATTTTAAGATTTTCATCACAGAATACATCTTACTGTAATTTGTGTCTTGCAGAGTCGAAAGTATGCTTGTAACCTGCTTTTTTCCTCTTATTAGAAGCAGAAGATTCTCTGGACCAAAGCTCTTCTGAGAATATTCCTTCTTCTCCTACATCTGGATCTCGTGGCATGCTGTCAGCTATCACTAATGCTGTACAGAACACAGTGAGTCATTTTAGCTGGCCTCTCTACTCCAGTTATTTTTCGTTATTTTTGGGTTCAACTTCACTGTAGGTCACATTTTTTAAGTTGTAGGTTTAGTAAAAACGGTTGTGTTGTAAGTCTGTGTAGAGTCTTTTCCATGACAAAATAGCTGTTAAATTAAACTATCAAATTAAAAAAAAAAAAGTGAAACATAAATAACTTTTACAGTTAAGTCCTTCCAGAGAAACTGATTTGTTATAATTTTTGAAGGCTGATAAAATAAGAAAATACTTCATTTGCTTATTTTAAGGCTTTTGCTAAACTCTGTATTGTAAGTTCCTGACCTTTACCTTCACCTCTCTGTCTAGTCTGTCATTTCATATAAGCCTTCCCAGAAGGGGATCTGCTTGCAGAGTCAGTGAGGCAAAATAATTCTTTCCTATTACACTGTACTTGTATTTTGTGTGTTACACTTCATCCTTTTCTCTTTTTCTGTTTCAGCTTTTGCAAAGTCCTGTATCATACTGTTCCCCATCAATTTTTGTCTTACCTTCTTCCCCAAGATTTTTTACACACTATTACCATAGCAAATGTTTTCCTCTGAATTTTTCGGTATGGTGTTTTCCCTTGAAATTGTAAGAGACTTCAAACTTGGGCTATAAAGGCATAGAAGACTAACTCTCCAAGGAGCATGTTTTACAAACGGACAATTCTTTTTTTAGTGTATATCCAGTTCACTCTGAGTGCCTTGTCATTCTAATATCAAAGATTTTGGAGCCAGAAGGATATTCCTATAGATTATTCCTGAGACTTGCTACAGAACCTGGAGCTTGTGAGATCTAGACACAAGTAAGATTACTTGAGCATTGTATAAGATTGCAAATAAGAGAAATGTGCTTGTAGGCAGCCTGGAGAGGCTACTGTACCACAGGGATGAATGTGATACAAAAAGAATCACTTAAGGCCTCAGTAAGTCTCCTGTAATGCCATTTGAGGCTTTGGAATGGTTTTAATTATATCAGGTTACATCAGCATTTGAGTATCTGACAGACGCATAATCCAGATTGAGATGGAAACCTTTAGCCAGTGAAACTTCTTCAGTGCACATGAAAAATAGGAAGACACGAGAAAAACATATGTGTTTAAAAAGACAGTTCCAGAGTCAACACAAGTGCTAAAAATTTTAAAAATCAGTTAAATAAGGCAAGGTTCATGATGGACTTGGTTCCATACTATTCGTATCTAAAATGCATTCCCTCAAACTAGATGCCATTGGGTGAAATTTAAGTGATATTCATAAAATTGTAGAATGGTTTGAGTTGGAAGGGACCTTAAAGATCATCTAGTTCCAACCCCCTGCCATAGGCAGGGACATCTTTTGCTATACCAGGTTGCTCAAAGTCTGATCAGCCTGGCCTTGAACACTTCCAGGGGTGAGGCATCCAGAACTTCTCCTATTCCAGTGTCTCACCGCCCTCATAGTGAATTATTTCTTCCTGATATCCAATCTAAATCTACCCTTTTTCAATTTAAAGCCATTCTATTTTGCCCTATCACTGCTTGCCCTTGAAAAAAGTCCCTCTCAAGCCTTCCTGTAGGTACTGTAAGACTGTTAGAAGGTCTCTTTGGAGCCTTCTCTTTTCCAGGCTGAACAGCCCCAGTTCTCTCAGGCTGTCTTCATAGGAGATGTACTCCAGCCCTTTTGTGATATTATTCATAATTTTTTGTTTATTGGCAACAGTTGTTACATTTCCTCCAGTGTAAGTCTTCTAAATAACTAGAAATATCTGTATAGTTCCTTTTTTTTTCCTTTTGGAAAATATATTCAGAACAAAGCAAATGTATCAATCCTATTGTTAGTTTAAGTATAGAAAATTTAGGGACCTGAACATTCAAAGACAATGTTGACAAAAGCACTGCTCTTAACAGTTCATATTAGGATAAAGTGGGAAGAAAATAACCACATTGCATTTTTTTATACAGGGGAAAAGTGTATTATCTGGAGGCTTAGATGCTTTGGAATTTATTGGGAAGACAACCATGAATGTCCTTGCAGAAAGTGATCCTGGATTTAAGAGAACCAAAACACTGATGGCAAGAACAGTGTCACTATCTCAGGTTGGATTTATTTAAATACTGCTCAGTCAATGCAATTTCAGATTCTTTTTCCAGAAGTTCAGATGCCTCAGGGAGAGGCTTTATTTATTGCAATAGATAGTGGCTAGGTTTATGGAAATAAATATTATGCTTTGTATTTGCTCCACTTTATTTTTCTTCACAGAACCACAAAAGATAACGTAAAGTCATCTTTTCTGCATAATCACATGTGCAATAGCTGATTTAAATAAAATAGTATATGTGGTGATAAATCATTACACTCTGGAGACAAAATAAAATTGTTGGCATTTTGATAACAGCTGTAGATAGATATCTTCCAGCATAAACACAAGTATACTACTTTCCTTGGAAATGAGTAATACTGGAATATGACATACGTTTCATTAGGAATTAACACTATGAAAAATTGTATCTTAGTGTCCATGTAAACAAATGGTACCCTTACACAGTTGTGACTCATATATTTTAAAGTTCAGAGAAATTATAAAATCAGAAAAGAAGTATAAGTGCTGTCAGTACAAAATTATTTTACCTCTCGAGACACTGAGAGGAGGGGGGCTGTGGATATCATTAGACATTGCAAAGAACCTTTAATTTTACTGCATGTTTACTTCCTTGTGGAGAGGAGCAAGGTATTTTTTTTAAGTATGAACAGACTGATACTGTTGTAGTAGGCCAAAAGCAATTAACTCTTGTCAAGGCCCACAAGGCTAAAACGAGCTTTTGAGAATGTCTTCTTAAACAACCTGCATGAATTTGCACATAAAATCTGAGGCAGAATACAATATAAATCAGTCCTCATGGGTTGCACGTGTAAGACGGTGCTTCCTTTGCAGTGATGTGTTCATAAAACTTTGTTAGTTATCTTTTGAAGGCGGAGACTTCAGGGGAAAAATCTACCATCATAAGTTTTTTGTAACAAATGAATCACTGAAGAGAATATTGTAGAAATTTTGAATAATGGAATAGTGTAAGTGATGGGAGTTCACCTGTATTCAGAGGCTTGTACAAGACTTAAGATGCAGTTCAGATATATTTACCACCTTTACTGTAGTAAACTCATATGAGAGGCCATTTCCTCCTTGGAATAGAAGGAAGGAGTACAAGGTCATATTGGATACACTATTCTATCCCTCTTATATACTGAGAGAAGTGTGTAAGATCACTCCAAAATATCCCCAAGTATATAGAGTGTAATTCTGCCCCACCTTTGGTAGAAGTCATACCACGTTCGGCAGTCCTGCTGTCACATAAAACTGACTTTAGTATTTGCTAAAATTATTTTGAAGGAAGTATTTCTGTAGGTGCATTAGTTATGCAAGTAGGTGAGTAGGTCCTGAAAAATAATATGATTCCAATTTTGTGGTCTGTGGAATGGATTGCATGGCTCTTTAAGGCTGCATATGAAATAGTCCTTTTTATTTTTCTTTCATTATAATTGGTGGTTAAATTTATTGTACATTATCCATAGCTGACATTGCTTTTGAGAATATAAGCAAGATTATTTGTTTATTCATTGTTTTTTTTTAAAAGATGGTTAGCAATTATCCCACTTAGAATAATACTTAAATACTTTATTAGAGAAATTTATCAAAAAAGAAGTTAGATATTTCATCTCTAAAATTTTAGCTCTGCAGGTGTGATATAGTCTCAAATTTTATTACTACTTCCTAGGCAAGCAGAAGCAGACAGTAATAAAATCTGTCACACATACAGCAGTATCAATAAAACAACAGCAATGATATATGTTTTTACAGCTCTTGCGAGAAGCTAAAGAAAAAGAGAAACAGAGGCGGGCCCAGCAAGTTACAGTTGAAAGAACAGCACATTATGGACTACTTTTTGATGAATTCCAAGGTTTGTCTCATCTTGAAGCTCTGGAAATCCTGTCAAATGAAAGTGAAGCTCAGGTACAGTATGCAGACAGCATAAATCAATATGGTTGGTAAAAAAATTCATCTTTACATTAATTTCATTCTGCAAGTGCCTGTGGCATGAACAGTAAGTTTTCCATCATCTTCAGTGAAAGCTGAATTGGTCCCTTGGGCCAGCCCTGGGCTTTAGGAACTCAGTCTCAATACAGCTAAAATTTAACTCCAAAATTAACTAAAAACAAACAACTTCATAACTGAAAGTTATTTTTGTTAGAACCATAGGTAGTGTGTATTTTTCATCTTGTGACACAATGCAGACATCTTCCAAATTACTTGCAGAATTTTCAAGGAGGTTGAAGTCTTTTGGGTTTGTATCAGGCACAAATACTTAGATTCGGAAATTCCAGACCTACTACATCTGGAGACTGGTGAATTAAAATGACTTCCAGATTACTTATTCTCTTCATATTTGTTAGTTTTTAAAGTTACATAAAACTACACCAGGATACTATTATTGGAAGTATACAAATGTCTCCCTGAAGAACATGGTAATGTTACTAAGGCCTGTATGATAAATATATATTCTAATTTCATCTCTCAGTTCATTGACTCTGCTACTAGATCAGTAGATCTCCAAGAGTAGACTAACAGAATTTTGTAGATTCGCAGCAGTGGTATTTTCATACTGGAAAAGTTTTCTGAATAAATTTCTTAAAAACAAAGGGGGGGTTGAGGGTGGGGGTTTTTGTTTTGGTTTGGGTTGGTTGGTTGGTTTGTTTTTTGTAATTAGCATTCCTTGGCCTGTGGGGTACTTTTTAATAAAATGTAACCAACTTATTTTTTAAAATGTTCTATTTGCTCTCACAAATAAAAGAAGCTTACATTAATAACAGTTAGATACATAGTGTCAACTGTTTTATTTTTTGTAATTATGTCTAAATGACAAATTATAAATTCAAACCCCACATGTAAGGTTCAAGGGACTACTTTTGGGAGAAACAAACGAATGACAAAAACAAAACAACCAAAACCCTCACCCACAAAACAGGAAAGAGATAGATAGAAACAAGTTCAGGTTAATTCCATGCAACACTACTATTTTTATTTTACTGCGAAATACCACAAGGTAAGTAAGACTTGCACAGGATGTTTCCATGAGGTTTCTGATGCACATCGTGTTATGTCCTAGATAACCTTTTGCACATAGTCCTACTCACTACAACAGGATTGAGTATTGTGGATCAACAAGTTCAATTCCCTGATAAATCACAGAATCACAGAATGTACTGAGTTGGAAGGGACCCACAAGGATCATCAAGTCCAACTCTTAGTCCTGCACAGGACCATCTCAAAGAGTCACACCATGTGCCCAAGAGTATCGTCCAAATGCTTCTTGAACTCTGTCAGGCTTGGGGCTGTGACCACTTCCCCGAGGAGCCTGTTCCAGTGCCCAACAACCCTCTGGGTGAAGAACCTTTTGCTAATATCCAACCTAAACCTCCTCTGACACAACTTCAGGCCATTCTCTTGGTCCTGTCACTGGTCACCACACAGAAGAGATCAGTGCCTGTCCCTCCTCTTCCCTTCACAAGGAAGTTGTGACTGCAATGAGGTCTCCCCTCAGTCTCCTCTTCTCCAGGCTGAACAGTCCAAGTGACCTCAGCTGCTCCTCTTACGGCTTCCCCTCAAGGCCCTTCACCATCTTTGTTGCCCTCCTTTGAACGCTGTTTAATAGCTTAATATCTTTTTTGTATCATGGTGACCAAAATTGCACACAATATTCAAGGTGAGCGGGACAATGAGCTCACTCAACCACACATATATGCACATGTGCACAAAATATGTAACAATACTGCAAGCTTGAGACCTCTTCTAACAGCCCAAAAGCCAGAGGAGGAGCGCAAGAGGGACTGAAGACATTACTAATGTCCTATGTGCTTCTAATAGCAGGGATTAAAATACATGTTTAAGTTTTATTTTAAAAGTTTCCATGAAAAAAAGTTCCTGGTTAGCCCTTGAAATGGATAATGCTATAGAAAGGGAGAAAAAAAGCCCTAAGTAAGAAAACCGTCACAACCTGAGTTGAGTCTCCTGGCTTTATCTTGCATTTAACCTCTAGCACATGATCCAGGCATGAGGACACACAAGTAAGAAAGTAACAGCTTTCTCCAGTCTCACAATGAGGCAGTCTGTACATCTATCAAGATTTTTAAAAGCCCCTTGAAACATAAAAGTAAAATTTTGTATCAAGGGGAGAAAAGGCTCCAAGCTTCTCTTTGCTTCCATAGGCAGAGAGGGCACCCGCAGGATTAACACTACATAACTGTAGTACAAACAGTGATTCAAAGAATCTGTTTCCATTCCTCTTAGGTGTGCCACTCTATTAGATATGCAGGGACTTGCATAGACATGCAAGAGACATGCAAAGACCTGTCCATACAGTCTTCAGGACAGGTAGATTTTCAATAATTTTGGCTACGTTTTGAAGGAGGGGAAACAGGCTTCTTTTTCCAACTCTTCCTGTGAGTGCTCAGACTAACCATTCTGCCTGTGCTCTTTTTGCCTGCTGTCTTCATCCAAGCCATCTCAAAATACCCATTACAGTTTGCAATTAAACCATAGATTTGAAGCTCAAAACTCATGTTCTGGGGAAAGGTGGAGACTGATGATCTGGCAAGGCTGGTGTATTTTTTTTGATACTCAACAAATTCTGTTGTTGAGAACTAAAAATATATCTACATTGCAGGGTTAGAGACAAGATTTGAGCATAACGGGAGTTTCAATTTCTTGTCCTACTTCGGTATCAGGTTCTAAATTAGCATTTAAGAAATACTCTGTTTTGGTTAGAAACACTGTCCTTTCTTTTACAGATTCAGGCACATTTAGCAACACTTGATGGAGAACAGTTGGAAACTGCAAAAAATGATTTAATTGCTATAAAAGAGATTTTTGTTCCAAAGGAATCAGATGATGAAGTGATGCAAGCACAAAAAGGTAATTAGAAATACAGAGACTTAACCATATGAATAACTGTTGCTTCTTTATCTAGTAATTTAAAAATTACAAACAGAACTATAATATTGATATCCTAATACTCTTCATAAGGTAGAGATTAAAATTAATACTCTAAAAGTTCTGGAAGTCGATCAATGCCTAATTTTGAATTTATATTGTAATTGAAGTGTGAGAGATAGGAAATAAAATATAAATAAATATCATATTACTTTGCTCTATCGTCAATGAAAGCAAAATATAAGAGAAAATAGTAACGTCTTGGATAACTGAATTTTTCTTATAGAATCTGTTTGAAAATGTATTTTCTGAAAGTTTTGGAGTTTTTAAAAATGCTTTTCTGTTCAGCAACTTCCTCCTCACTCTGCATCCTCCCTTGCTAGACTGGTAAAAGATTAGAGTGTAATCAAGAGACTTAAGAACCCTGAATTTTTTGAATGGAAGCCACTTTGAAACATAGTGGCAAAACTGCTTTAAAGGTATTGCTTCTCAAGACATGGCGTGTGGAGTGTGAGAAAGAAGTTAAAGTAGCACAAGTGTGCCATAACTGTGATATAGAGCACAGAATTTAAGCGAATGGGTCCAGCATGACAGTCCAGAGATCAGCTCACAAAAGTTACAATAAAATGGGTGGATACTTTGGTTAGGGGCAAAATAGGTGTCTTAAACAGGTCAGAAATTTTAGTGTTCCACAGAACAGGTTAGAGCAGAAAGATAGTAAGTCAAAGCCAGCATGATTTGTGTCTCCAGACCTGTGAGATCCACACCAAACCTCTTATAGCTAATAGAAACAATCCCCTTGACCTGACTGAAGACTGGCTTATGCCATTGAACACCATATTGTTGTGTTTTAGAAACACAGAAACATAAAAAGATATTTCTTCCACATCCTTTTGGTCTTCTCAGGGGTACATTGCCCATAAAACCTACATTTTGCAAGATGATGAGATATGATTTCTCTGGCCTTCTTGAAAGTTAGGAAAACCGTTTTAACATCTGTGTGTTCTAACAGGAAGGTCATTTCTGCTCAGAGTGCTCCTTGTGGCAGTGCTCACTCAGCTCGCCTGATCTCTCTCACGAGGAGCTCACTGTTTCTTATCATGGGGGACAGAGAGTGTTTGATGTAAAGTCTTAGTATGGTACAGTTTTGTGCTGGTTTTTCCCCCCTTGTTAAACTTTAAAATCCCACATTCCTCCATGGCATTGTGCGAAATAGAAGCCAAGAAAGTGTATTACCTGCTTAGGGGTGAGGATTCATGAGATGTCTGTTGTTCCTTAACTTCTATTGGAAATAGTCCCTTGCTTTGAAACCAGCCCCAGAAGAAGCTCTGTTTCTTGCACCAAGTAATGGTTTCTCTGGAGGTCAGAAGTTCTGGTTTCTGAGTAAAGCACAGCTGCTGATCATGCTCCTTGCATGGACTTTTGAATGGACTGGAACCAAGGCAATGAGCACCTTGGAAAAAAGAAAAGAGTGAAACCAAGTCAAAGTGTACTGCAGGTTTTCCCCTGCAAAAGCAAACCACTCAGCAGTGAAACACATCCTCTTTGCTATGACAGTGGAAATAATAACCACATATGTTCTCTCCACCTTACAGCTGAATGGGTCTTACTTCAGGCAGCAGTTCAAAATTATTCACATCCTTTGGTGTGATCAGGCTCAAGATTTATTAGTATTTGAACTACAGATAAATTTCTGGTTCCACTGGAGTAACCAAAAGAGTAGAAAGGTTAATCACTTCTCAAAGCAGCTTTCTGTTAGGACTGAGCCTACAATTCTGTACACACCTTAATAGGTTTTACACTTACAAATCAAGTAAGCCATATGCTCTTTTATAGTGTATTTCTTACACAGAATTATATATTTTTACTTAAGCTAGCTAATATAGCAAAACATAGCAGGGTATGTTAAATTCTGTGGAGGAATTTTGATCTTAATTCTGCTTGCTAAACAGGTTAAAACTACAACTAAGTTGCCTTCACTAAGATTTTGATTTGTGGTTCCTAGTGCAATAAAATGTGGTTTTTTTCCTTTATGTAAGGAAGACAGCCTCCTAAAAAAGGCAGAGATTAACTGGTGGTGTTTGAAAATCTTATCTAACCACTGAGCAGTATTTGAAAACAAGCTAATTACCATTTATTGCTAATTTGCTATCATTTTATTGGCATCCGAGTCATGTTGTTTATGTGGTGTTATTTGTCAGTGCTATATATATTCAGAAAAAAAAAAAGAAAAAATTAGATGGGAGAGAAAACAGTACTTTGCATTCAAGTGTTTGAAAAGGGTGACAGTTTGTTTTATGCAAATTCTCAGAATCCCTTCTTATCCTAGACTGTCAGAATCTGAATGAGATTCTGATGTTAGTGCTGCTTTATTTTCTACCATAAAACTTTTAGTCCTACACAAGGAGAAATTACTGCAGTGACCTTTGGAGGGCTATTTCAGGAAAGGATTTGGGCTAGGCTTTGTTCTTGGCGACTTCGAAATCATAGTATTTTTTTGTGCCTTTGCTCAGATAGGTGCAAAATTGATATGAAAAAAAAAAGCCAAAGAACACAAGTAGCAGAAAGCCACATGCATACCCTTCTCTCTAATATTTCCTCTCACTTTGATTATGCAAACCTTTCATGTATTTTTCACTGCAGCTTCTTTTCGTTTCAGTTGTTTATGAAATAATAAGAGGAGAATATCTGAAAAAGTAGCTTTACCTACATTTTGAAAGCCATTACACCAAAAATTTCATATGTGAGGTTAAGGGAGACAGTAACCAAAGTGAGTATTCAATTGGATATCCCAGCTATCATCAACATTTCTGGTAATTTTGCATTGATGCAATGAAGCACTTATCAGTTTTCAGCATGCTGCCATTCATAAAACAATTTGGCATTGTTTTATGTGAGTACAGTGTATCCAAGAGGTACTGTATTGCAAAGCCTGAAAATCCTATTGCCAAAATTTACTGATAAGGGCAGGAATGAAATTAACTCCATGCATCTCTTTGGCCTCCCAGACAACAAATTTCTTCACGTGTTCCCCTGCTGTTAAGACAAAAGCTCAGTCTCTTGGTCATTGCAGGTGGAGAATTCTTTCTGCTAAGTACCAACTTACTTTATAGCACCAAAGATGAGCACTCTCTTTACAAGCAAGGGTGGGATGTCCTTCCCTCTAGGAGAGTATAATCTGAGTGTCAGATTTTACCACCTTTCCATATGTTGCAAGGTACTGTAAATAGTTCTACCAAAATCCCAAAAAGTAATTGGAAAGTAATGGCTCTCTGCTTTTAAGCCCAGTACTGAAGATCTGCATAAAATTGGAAAATCTGGCCTACCTAATGAATGAGCAGAAGAAATGGCAATACAGCAAGACATGAAATTCGTTTTTGAAGTAGCTGGGCTTTTATCAAGCTCAGTATGGGGACTCTGACCTTTTAGTGTGATCAGGCTAAAAAACTGGATTTTGAGTGATCCAGCATGAAATCTTAATGTAGATTCCAAGCTCAGTAAGTGCAGATGAACAGAACCAACCAAAATACTAACTTTCAGGAACTTAGATTATGTTAGAATATGTCATCTGCAAGTATCCAAAGGAGTATATGTAATAAAGATGAAGTTCAAATACTATCAATACTTACCTTTGCTCTTAACTTGTTAAATAAATGTGCAGATTCTTTGAGGCACGTCACTCCAAAGCAAACCAGAAAACATTCTTCATTTAGGCAAATCTCAACCTTAAAATTGAAATAAAACACACCTCTTAGCTGTGGTTTGCAGACAGAGCAATAAAGCATGTATGAACAGTCTGAGAGAACAGTATATTTCTTCTGAAACTTACTCATATCTGGCTGTGCTGTACTTTTTATTCCTTGGTTTGAAAGAATAGGTTAGTATCTCTTCTTTGGTTATTTTGTGGGTCAGGGATTTTTTGTCATATAATATATGACAAAATATAATATAATATATAATATAATATAATACCATTTCTTGCCCTCTTACCTCTTTTTGTCCCCAAATCTTCGTTCTCAAAACCTAGCCACGATGACCTGTTTTTATGAAACTTAGTGGAATTTAGAATGTGGTAGAAAGAGCAGTTGAAGTGTCAAGCTGGCATATCTGGTCATGCAGGTATCCCTGTTGCTTGTTCGCTTCTTTATTTGAGCGTGTACATCCCCCACACACATCCCTTTCTGGTGTCACTGTCATTGTTTTTGAAGCACTGGAATGCTTGGGGAAACTATTTGACTGGATGAATTTTATCATATAAAGTATTATAGCAGTAACACCATGACAAAAATTGTCTTGTTTTTTCTTGCAGCAGATATGGGAGAAGAGTTTGTCAGCATGCTCACGGAACTGCTGTTTGAATTGCACGTTGCCGCTACTCCTGACAAACTTAATAAGGTAAGCACCTGTTAGTGAGCTGCCTTTGGTTTCTTGGATAAAGAAGGAGGGCTTTGTTCTGAAATCTGACACAGAGCAGTACCTAGCTCAGTTCAGGCAGCTCAGAAAGCAAAGTGAAGGAGAGTGAGACTAAAATGCTCAATATAGAAAAACTTTCATGGAAGTGAGGTGAGTAAGGCAATGGACTTGGACAACTAACTAGCACTTTTTAGTGTTAGAAAGCCTTGAACCAGGGGTGTCTCAGCAGAGCAGTGCTCGTGAGCACAGCAGATTTGGTCTTAATGTACTGGGAAGAAAGCTCAGGTTCAAAATCATTTTTCTTACTCCTCACATTTATTCTTCTGAGGGACTTCTTCAGACCTTCTTAGCTAGAAGCAAAGTCTTAGATTTATCTCATGGTACTTCAATCATCTAAAAGTTAGATGTCTAGAAGCTAGTCATGACTAGTCACATCTGTACTATCAGGTCCCTTTAAAGCTGATTAATCTGCTGACCTTAGGCTCAAATGAATGTTTATGTCTCTAGCTACATAAATAGGCTATGAATAACTAGCTTAGGCTTAGATCTTAATGTATTTTCATTTGACTTCGTGTTAAAAAAGTGACATCATAAATTTTCTACTAAGCATAACAGTAGTCTGAAGTTGTATAAAACTTCAAGACTCTTCAGCTTTGATCTACTTTCATGGCTGGGGAGGCAGCTCAAGATATAGTGATTTTCTGGTTATTTTTCCTTTAAGAATTTAGTACATCTTCCTTACATCTCCAATTTTTTTTTTCCTTTTTTTATATCCATCTCTTATTTTTTCATTTGGGAAAACAACTATTTAAGAAAAATTTCCATGTAAATTTGCTTAAATGATACCTAATAAAGCTGAAATATTATTAACGTTGGTATTAATGCTAACTCCATGTATTTGTTAGGAATATCATTCCTTTAGAGGAATTATCCATGGATGATCCATCTTTATGCAGTCAAAATAGTTCTTCCTACAGTTTTTTAAGTATACACTTAACTAAATACCACATAGAGGCTTAATATATTCAGTCTTTACACTCAATCTTTTACACTTTTTCGAGTGTAAAAAGGAAGTAATTAAAGGTCTTGTTAATTGATGTTCAGGAACGTCATCTGATATTCTCTGTTCTAATTGAACTTTTGGGGTTGGGTTCTTTGTTTGACAGGCCAGGAAAAAAGCTCATGAATGGCTGGAAGAAGCCAGTTTTTCCACCCCAGCAGACATAGAAGAGAAGCTAAAAGAAGAACCTGGAGAACCTGGTGAAGAAAAAACTGACGAAGATGATAAAATTGACAGTGATAAAACAAAAGTAAACAAAAACAAAACTGTGGAGGTAAAATAACTTTTGGAGGAGAAGTTTCATTAAGCAGATGGTTATACTTTGTTTGATAAGATTACTTCTTTATCTTTGTGTGTTGGCTTTACATGTCCTTATTTTTTAAACTCATGGAAGTAGTAAGAAATAATAATATACAACTATTCACTATAGACCCAATAGGGGACTAACTTATATAAATATTCTTACTGTTATTCTGTTTCCATAACTAAATATCAAAGTAGCAGGTCCTCTGACTATCACATTGTTTTTATTGTTTTATATCTGTGGTTTTGTGTGTGTGCTTGTGTATACACAACATAGAGTGAGCTGAGGGATTCTGTGGTGTAATGTCAATAGCACATTGAAAGTCGTATCGCAACATTCCTTCGTATCTCTTTATCCCAGTGACAATACATGGGGAAAATGTTCAAACTTTAAAGTCTTGAACAGTTTAAATCACAAACAGACAAAACAGAAATATTATTTAGGCAACTCACAAATGTTTATTCTCTTTATGAAAGACAGCTCTTAGGGCTGAAAGTATTGTGTTCGTTTAGATAGTCCTGATAAGTTTAATTGTGATTGAATATTTTCTGTCAGGTTATGGCAATAATAAATGTGGTTGGTATCTTTGTCAAGATTTTAATTAATTCTAATAAGAAATTATTTGTAATGTTTCCTTACAAAAGTGGTCTAAGAAGGAGACAGAAAATATATACACTGTATGTATGACAGATTTTTATGTGATTACATATTTCCAACTGGCATCAGCTTGTGGAATTTGTAACACCATAGTGCTAGGTAGAGATTTTTATCATTGCTGATAAAAGCCATTTTTCATTGGGCATATTATTCATTTCTTCTCTGGAGATTCAGCTGAGAGACAACTCATTACTTTTGGCTCCATATGAAAATAGTTATTACTTATTCTAGAGTTTAGGGATCTTTCTGTTTGTTAGGACTAGGTTTAGCACCCTGACCTAGTTCCCAGCCAAATAAATGGTAGACTTGTTCTTACTAATTTTTCAGGACAAGTATAATGTCTCTATTTTATGATCTGTGAATATTTCATTTTCCAGTATTCTTTGTGAGGATGACATTATGGCTGATATTATTTCATTATGTGTGTGGTGATATTTCCAACTGGGGAAGGAAGGGCTCCTATGCTTGAAATTATTTTGTCCATATATGTCTATAACTACATTTATCAATGTTGGTATTATTGATTATATTATTCCCATTTTTAATTTAAGGAAATCTACATGCTGTCCATTGAAAGTCTGGCTGAGGTAACTGCTCGTTGTATTGAACAGCTTCATAAAGTAGCAGAATTAATTCTACATGGTCAGGAAGTAGAAAAGACAGCTCAAGATCAAGCAAAAGTACTGACAAAGTGAGTATTATGTACTTCGTATATGATCATTTTGACATTTACTTAAAACTCATGAAGTTCTGTTCAGATTTTGGCACTTTAAGGCACAGTAAGTTCATGGGTCAACAAACAGCACTGGCTTTAGGGGTCCTGGTGCTATATTTTCTCATGCAATTGTTATATAGGCTACCTGTCACTTTTTGACATGGCTGACATATGTATGTTTACAAAAACATGACCTATTTACAGGTTAAAAGTTGTTTCTGCTCCAGGAGGCAAATGTACGTGCTAATTTTTGTTGCATTTCCTGTTCCATCTGCAGAAGGTACTATGCCTGCGTATATGGAATTTGCTTTTAGAGTGCATAATGCAGTCTTATTATCTGCCAATAGTTTCATTATCTAGTGTTCATTTGCCAAAAATATACAAATTGTAAACAATAAGACCACATTTGTCACCAACTTTGTAGTTAACCATAGTGAAACTTCCATGAATTCAAGCACCCAGTTTGTCTAGTGGGACTCAAAATTCAAATCTCAGGCTCTCTGTGGGTATCAATTGTACTGATTTCAGTGGGTTTTGACATTAAGATATTTTAAACAGTTGAGTCCTAGGTAAGTAAAGGATTTAACCAAGTACTTATCCTTAGGAATGCTATTAAGAATAGCAAAGTCCATAGGAACATTTTAGTCTGAAAAAAAACTTGTTCAAGTATTTTTCGGAATTAGAGCTGAGTTGTGGTGCACCTTGCAGGATGAGACTCCATGGATTGCGCTTGTGAATTCTTAGGAAAACAAGGAATGATCTCAGAATAGAACTAGATCTTCTTGTTTCGTATTTTAACCACAAGTGTACTTCCCCTTTTAGCACAGAGTAGATGTTTTATTGGTTACATGGGAAACTTCTCACTATTGTCATTCAAGTTTATTTCCAACAGTATTCCTTGGAGTTGTGTTGCTACAATCATCAGAAAAACATTAGTTAAACTAGGAGCCTAGAATTTATAAAATTGAAACATTGCACTATCAAAAAAGACTAGTATGTGAAACAACACAACACCATTTTGCTGCTGTAGTCAGCAGTGGATTTTTCAGTGGAGGAATATAAAAATTGTACCATGAACAAAGTTGATCCCTAAATATTTTAAAAATTACTAGAAGTAAAATTGCTTTAAGAACATCTTGGCTTCTAAGATGAAGTTTTGCCTGGGGCAGTCACAGGGGTTTTATCCATTAACAGGTCAAGAATGTATTTTTATATTTGTCTCTCCTGTTTTTATTTAACCAGTTTAACAAGTGCCATGTGCAATGAAGTTTCATCTTTATCAAAGAAGTTTTCTGATTCTGTAACAGCAGCTGGGGTAAGATCATAGCATTTTCTGTAGCATTTGTGCTCTTTTTAACATAGTTCCCCTCTTGAAACAGAAATTCTTGCCTGAGTCCGGTGGCTTTATATGCAGCATCAGCAAAGAGACCACTTCTTTTCTCAGATCAAAAACATGGAGCATTTTTGCAGCAGAGAAAGTTTATAAGCAATGTGTCCCCTCCCTTCTAAAATCTTTCTTTCTAGACATCATTCTTCATATTCCTGATCACCACTCAACACTTTATGTCTTCTCGCATGGAAGGGCCCCACAGCTTGGTGATACTTTCTTCTCCAACTCAGCCTATTGATTTAAAGGCGTTTGTGTAAAAGTCATTAACAGATCATACTTGCAGTACCTTAAGATGGTTTCACGAGCTGTCTTCTTAGCATTTCCTAAATCACCTGCCTTAGTACCACTATATTTTCAAAATGTTTAAGAGAATACAAAATCTGTTTGGTCATTCATCTCAAAAAAAAAGAAATCACTCTATCTCAAGATATTCCATTTAGAAACATCCTTTTGTCTGTGAACATCTTCACTAGAAATAGTACCCTGCCTTTCAAGGTGTTTCAAAGATGACTGACATCTGAGTATTATAGCAGGATTCAGAGGTAAAAATTGGGCTGTTGCTGAAATTGTCCTGTAAACATCAGAGAAGAATAAATTCTGGTTCTCCTGATTGCTCCTTGAAAACATGAACGTACATCAAAGGAAATTTTCCCCAGTTCTCCTGTGAACTCTTCCAGCACATCTCTGAGCAAGTTTTTTTAGACTTATTTGTGAAGAACATGGTTTGTTGAGTTGCTTTTATTCTGACTAATTTACATTCCTTCCCATTACTCTAGGACAAGAAATGCTTATTTTGCATTTTGGTATTGTATTTTAGCATATCTTTGTGGGACACTTGCAATAAATACATGCACAAATATATAAAAATAAATGGTATGTGAAATGTTAAACTAGCTCAGCTTAGAATGGAAACTAAAGGTTTTGTAAGCATTGCTCTACATTTCATTCTTATCAATTCTGTACTCAGTTTTTAGGACCAGATTGCTTCTATGGAGATTTGTGTGAACAGATAAGAAATGGAGCTCAAAGACACTTCTTACTGCCAAAATACTATGGAAGAGAGCTATAGTAGGGCAGTCTGGTGATCTTTCTGTTCTGTGCTATCTCTGTAAGCTCTTGGAGGAAGGTGTGGGGCCTTTTGCTCACCATGATCAGTAGGAAAGCAAGGAGCACCCGTCACACAGGGCTGTAGAGAATCTACATCTGCCTGCATATCCCAGCGGTTCAGCGTCCTCCTTAACCTGCCAACAGTACCTGGGTTTGCAAACACATTCCAGTATCCTGCGAAATCCATTAGCTTGTGGGAAACTGAGAAATGCCTTAGAACAGAAAATGCTGGCTTTTTCAAACAAAATGCCACCCCTATAGTTATATCTGCGTAATTCAGACATTAGTTGTAGTGCTGGCTGTACACATAGCCTATAATGCTGGCAGTGTTTCTGAGGGAGCAGTAAAGCTCTTTCAAACTTAAACTTGATTCATACAACCAATAATATTAAATTGATACTGCTCTCTATCTTTTTCAGTTTATTGACGATCAACTAAACAGTGCAGTTCATAATGGATTTTCTAGTAACTGACAGTAAAAATGCCCTTCTTTTCTCTAACCATCTTCCCTTTGGTCTGCCATCTTTCTCCAAACTACAATTAAGGTGTTTCATGTTTTCTATAAATGTGTAATATGAAAGCTACAAGGTTGTGAGTGGAAATCCTTCAGTTAAATTAATCAGTATTGTGTTCAATGTTGAAAGAAAGCATCTTGCAGAAGGTTACTGTCATTCTGAAAAACCATAATGCAAAAAACAGTGAAAATGAAAAAGAGAAGAACTTCTGACATTTTAAAAAGCAAAGGAGCTAATGAATTTTGGTTTTCTAACCTCTAGTAGTGTCACTTCTCATTGTATCCATCTTTATTCCTATCTGGTGGTTGAGAAAAGTGCCATGCATGTTGATATGTTTCACCAGCCACCCTGCACTGTCCAGCACAACATACACTGCCTCCAGTTTGGGGTCTGAGTGTCACTTGGTTTTCCTTCTGCAGGGGAGTTAATCTGGGCCTTTCATTTCTTCCTAACCACAGATACTCATGTAACTTCTAAGAACTTCATTTTCCTTATGACCTGTATTTTTCCTTCTTGTGTCCTTAAAAATGAGCAAGGGGTTAAAAATTTTGTGGGAGATGAGAAGGATGCTGATAGACAGATGATAGAGATAATGTTATTGTCTCACATCCATAGGAAAGTAGGCAATTTGAAACTCTGTGGTACATGAATTAGTGAAGAAATAAAACCCTGGAGCTGTCTTAGTTCATTGTACTCTGTGATAGAAATATGTAGGGTATACTGAAGTGTGTATGAAATGTAGAAACATTTACCAGGAATACTGAGATAAACAATATGAATAAGAATCGAGGTGAAGCAAGACCTTTATAAAATTCATAAAACCACTTCTCAAATATGAGTGTATTTCTGTTAAATGTATTTCTTGTCCTGGCATTTCATTCTATTTTCTGCTTTACAGAGCAGTATGAAGGCAGAGGTTCTTAATCCCATCATCAACAATGTGCTATTAGAGGTAAGCTTCACATCTCCTATTACAAAATGCTCTAGTAAAATTATTTGAAATGAGACAGGCACATTTATGTCTGAAGGAAAAACTATTTAAAAAGTAATGACAATATCATTCTGGCTCTTCAATGCCTGCTCATAAACCTCCCAGTTTTGTGCTCAGCCTCTCCCACAGACACTATAGTGGTAATGTTGCGTTTACTGAGGATTCTTAAGAGCTGTATGACTGAAGTGTGGCTGGCCAGCTCTGAAACTCTGCTGCTGTATTGGTCAGAGCACAGCAGACAAGTTGTAATATACTGTTTACAACCTTTGCTAACCTATTCACGAGTTGCCTGAGATAAGTCTATCCTTACTGTTCAGTTACCTACTTCAAATATTGCAAAGTACTTCTGATGCACAGATAGTTTCAGACTATTCTTTACTTTCAAATTTGCATTGTAGGTGTCCTACGGTGCTTCCCATCCACAGGCATTTAAATTTCTTCAAAGATTCACAGTCTAGCAGCAGGCTTGGTCAGCACATGGATAACCATGTGTCAGACCACCAAAATGTTCATGAGTGATTTCTTTTATTAGACACCACTATCTATTTGTCTTCAGAAAAGCACAGTGAGTAAAATGTACCTCAGTTTTATTGAGAAGAGGTCAAGAGGAAATAATATCCTCATAAAGTCCTAAAATGTATACTGTCTGCAGAATGAATTTTTAGCTCTGTTAATTAGATTACACTTCTCTCAAAACATAAATGAACGTATAGTAGTGACCACAGATGGTCATTCTGTATCTAATAGCTGCATTCCCTTAAAAATTAGGGGAAGGTTGTTTTGCATTAGGCAATTTTGCACTGAATTAACAATACCTTTAAGGAAAGTTATAGGAATTTGATAGAGCTGTAGTAAAGACTACTATATGGTTCCTTTTGTTGTAGGGTAAATTTGCTCTTGCAGCTGACTTACCTTCCTGTGCTCCAGGAACTGCAAAATCTGGGAACATCTGGAATTGTGGAATAAAATGTTTTGTACTTCTTAAATCCCATATTTGTATACAACTATGTATTAGTACAGCCCAGGATCATGGAGAATTAAAAGCTACTATACTGTTCAGTATTAGAAATTCCAAAAATAGTACTACATGTTAAAACCATTATAATAATTCGATCTGTTAATTTCAGTGACACTTTCTTCCACCTAAAGCAATTCAAAATTAGTTGAATTGATGAAAAGACTAGCTGTATTTAAAAAGTCAAATCTATTTCTGAACACTGTGACATTTTGTTCTACTCACATTACCAGCAAAATTGTCCAAGAGTTCAAACTGAAGGGAAATCAGATTTTTGTGGAGTGATTCAGGCTGTCATTGTTAGCTGTAAACTGTTGTAATTTATTGTCTTTCTTATCTACAGATTCTAAAATCTTGTGTGAATACATATGCTAATGTAGCAGGATGCAGACATTAAGAAAAAAAAAGAAAAGAAGTACAGTGTAATTCCTGAAGTACATGACAGCTGTACTGAACCACGTTTTCTCTCCCCATTAGGGCTGCAACAGCACTACTTACATTCAGGATGCTTTCCAGCTATTGCTTCCAGTTCTGCAAATTTCCCACATCCAGACCAGTTGTTTGAAAGCCCAGAAGTGACAGTTTCCTGAAAGTTGTCACCATTGGGCTTGACAGCAACCCCAGTCCCAATGTCTATAATGTTTGCTGAGAGAAAAGCTGGTACAAGAGGTGTCTGGCCACTTGGAGTCCTTCGAAGACACTACATGCGGTTTTGCACATGCAGTATGGAACAACGTTTTCAAACGCTTTCAGACTTTAGAAGTAGTTAGTAAAGTGAGTAATTTCTTTTCCAGTACAGTTTAGCTTTGCATTAATTTAAACAGAAGTTTACTGATATTAGCATTGACTTAAATATGGATTCTAAATGTTGACACTTTCAGTTGTAAACAAGGGACGAAGCAAATTAGAATGTAAAGTTTTTTAAAACATTTCAACTCAAATGACCATTTATATTGTTTGTATCCTGTCAGTTAAAAATGTATATTTCAAAAGTTGGTTTCAGTATTTAAACATGAACAAATTATCGTAGTGTTGTGCCTGTTAAATATTATTTCCTGTAGCAAATAATAACATCATATTAATAGGTACCACTAACAGAACACTTTGTATTCAAAGACTTGTAGAGCAATGGGTATTAACTTTACTAAATGAAAATTATGGAGGATATACATAAAGGATTATGCCAAAAAGAAGTTTTCTGAGCCAGTTAAGAGTACGGGTAAAGCTTTATATTTGCTGAACGATAATTTTATATTCATTTATGTCTATTTCTTCATTCCAATGGCTAAACAACACAGCAGGCCAAAGTAATCTTCTTAATATGCAAGGAATAGAAAATTTCTCATTTGTTTGGCAGTTGAAACACCCCCTAAGTAATCTTCTCTCAGGTGCGTTACCGGGGTTACGTGTGTTACTTTGGGGTTTAATTTGGCCTTTAAACATTATGAACCTTTTTCTCAAATGATACCAACAGTTCAGAAATAGAAAAGAAGTTGTAATAAGAAGTTATGAGAGGATTGCTCTGGGTGGAGAGGTCAATATGCCACAGCAAATCACCTTTTTCCAAGGCAGTAGCGAGACAGGACATAAATGAGCAACAGGAATGACATTTCATAACAACACTAGCAACCATACTGATTTGTCTGTATCCTTAGCTTAAAATCCTGAGCTGTGGATTTAAGAATTTGTTTAGGCTAGTTTACCTCATAGACAGGAGGTAAACTTCCTATATTTTACATTGCCTGTTCTCCTGGATTTTCATTGTTTATTATTTCATTGTTTCTATCAGTTATTTGGTATTTTTTTCTCTTGATACACTCATTAATTGTATTTAAATACTAATTTTTAATTACACTTAACATCTGAATATATTTAATCATAGAACATAGTTCATACATCAAAAAAAAAGTTAAATAGAGCATGAAGAAGTTTCTATGTTTAATAGAAAAGACAAACCATGTATCTGCTTTGCACACGATGTCTTTTTTGAGTCCAAGTAAGAGAGGGCAGAAAGGTCTGTTTGTGTCATACACTAGAGTGGTCCACGTTCTGCTGTCACATTCACTGTGACTTCTCCATCTTTTGCTATTTAGAGATTAAATTTTCACTATCCCTGAAATGAGATTTATTGCATAAAACCTATTTTCTGCCACCCTGTAATTTAACAGGTGTGAGATATCTTTCTAGGTTAGTAGAAGATGTACAATCTTCAAATCCACTTGCACAGAATGTAAAAAAAACCTTACAGCAATGTGAATAAGAAAGCCCCTTGACAGCTGAAAAGGCGAACAAAGGTTGACATTCATTGGTATTTATGCCATATTGAACAGCTAACATTACCTCAACATGGGAGAAAGTGGGACACAGAAAAATGCAACCAGAAAGCAGACTCACTAGCCCAAAGGTAGGATACAGCTCCCACCAGCTGTTAGATCCACACTTCTTTCCGGCTTTCCTTTATTTCTGAAAGCATAATTTCAAAATTTATTACAAAGTGACAGTTAGTTGATGCAAAACATTTAATCCCTGTCTTCTACATTTTGAGGGAAATAGACATACTCTTCTCTAGTAATTTTACCTGGCTGCTGGAAGAGACACACACTTGTACTTACTTGACCAGGAGTCATCCTTGTACGCACACCTTGACCCGGAACGGCTTCTTGGTGCGGATTCCTGAGGACCACGTAGTTGCTCCATGTACTTTATTGTGAGCAGTTTTCAGTTTTAAAGATCTGGAGACTGCTGAAAGCATTCCGTAGCTTGTAAGAAGGCCTGTTTGTTTTTCTGTTTTACTATGCTGGCAAGCAGAATATAATACCTCGTTAAAAACTTGTTTATTTTTCAAACAGACTGTCCAGAAGGGTCTGGTGTTTTCACATATCAGTCATTACATCCTGGATTTATCTTTACTTTCATTTGTTCATTATTTTTCATCAGAAAGCTTTTCTGCCCATGTTGGAGTAGAGCTCTCCATCAGGTATCTGTGAACATCGTATTACTGCCTAATGAGTCATGGAATAGTTTCATGTTGTTCCTTTGCCGAATTAGTGTTTTCAGGCACAAATTAATTTCATTACTTTTTGGTACAGATCTTTTTTTCTCTGAAATGCAGTGCAGAATATATAGTGTTAAACCTGTCAGAAAAGTGCGTTGGCTAACAGTGGTGCCTTTAAGCAGAGGCTAAACAATATAATATCAGAAGCTACAGGGGATAATGTTTGAAATCACTGAGGAGCATTCTTAAGACAAAGATTGCTTGTCTGAGACATTCCTTACTAGAGGTTTCACTGTCTTGCTTAAATTATGCATATATGAAGTACCTTACCCTAAAGTAAAAGAAGCTATAAAAAGTAACTTATTTACATCCATACAATGTAGGAAGGGAAATAGGACAAAATACAAGCATAAAGATACTCACATCTGATCATAGATGCAGTCATCTTGTCCTAGGAAAACTGAGTGTTTTATCTTTATGTCAGTTTTAGGTAAATAATATTTCAGTAGAAAAGTACTGTGTGTATACAGACCGAATATTTTGTTTACACCAATTTGTATTTTCCCACCAATCAAATAAATCATTTGAGATACTGAACTGAGACAGTACACTAAAAAAGGATTGGTTACAAGTATAATATGATGGGAGGATGTACTCAGTGAAGTCATTTACTTTCTGATTTTGTGATTTCCTTTTGGAATTATGAGTGTGATTTTACTGGGAGTCTGACAAAAACAGATGTTGCCTTAAACTTTTAATGGAGAATGTTCTTTCTTCCACCAGTACCCTTTTCTAGGTCAGTACACTGAGTGTGCTTTGGCACTTGGCAAACTAATAGGTTTTAAGTACTTGTGAAAATTACCTGTTCTCTTCAGCAGATCTATTTTCTATGGCATTCCATTCCCTTTAGAGCACATCCACCCTGTGATGCAGAGACAAAGAAGGCAGGCTTGTGCACTGACCAAATTAGAAATTTATCAAGATGAAACTTAAAACAATGTCTGCATACCTACAGCCTTGCAGATGATCCACTCTTACAGGTCATCACTGAAGGAAGAGCTGGAAGCAGACTGTTAAAGAAGTCATTTACTGTAAATTAGGGATATGTGCTTTTCTTTTTTTCTTTTAAGCAAACAAACCAAAACAGGCTATAAGTTGTTTGCTGCATTTTAGAGTATAGTCTATTCATGTGTAAACATCTCTTCCCCATGAGTTCCTCCTACACTCCAGCCTCCATTGCTTGAGACAGCTGAACAAAAGAACTGTCTCTTCCACTTCTTTTCATGCTGCTTAAATCCTCCACTGAAGCCCTTAATATCTTCCTCCAAAATGTGCCTCAACCATATCATACAAAATCACAGTCATTACCAGTTGAGATGCTTTTTTAATGATGTGTGTCACGAGTGATGTCCAGTGTCACCCACCAGTGACAACTGTAATGAGTCTGAAACACCAGTTTTCTCTGGTTCATGGATTATCATACAAGCAGTCACCCAGCTCATAGGATTATCTTTGAGAGAATCCAGTTCTGTTTCAAATGACAGCCCTGTCCTTTCTGTTAGTCTCAAAAGATTGTAAAGAATGGAAAAGGACTTTCCTGAGTTCTTTTTAAAACCATCTCAGAGCAAGGCTTAATGTGACACCATCAGCCAGTCTGACCTACTTTGAAATTCTTACAGTCTGACTGGAAAGCCCTCTGGACTTTAAGCGCTTTATTCTGTCTCAGGTCAACCTTTGCTGAAGCTGCTTTTACTGTGCAACTTATACATTTTCCATGCTCTGAGTCCTACTTCAGCGCATTCATATTGATGATGGTGGGCAGTTCTATAATTGAAAATCAAAAATTAAAATGTCAGAAATTGAGCTGTGTTAAAAAGAGGGAAATTATTTTCAAAAGAAAAAGCAAAAGAATGCACTCTCTGGAAAGAGGAACAATTTTCAAAGTTAGATTAGAGAAAAGGCTCTCTAAAAGAATTTTTCAGCATTGTTCAGAATAAACAAGAGATGACATCTGATTAAGTACAGTGGAACTGGAATAACAGCGTTTCTGAAGTAAAATGAAAATCTGCATGCACTTAAAGGAAGTCAAAGATGAGATCATTAAAAGAGAAGAAGCTTAAAGGAAAGAAGACAGCTAGTTTGGTCACTCTGGATCTGCACTGTTCATTTTCCCTCTATTGCCTGCACTGCACAAGTCCCTGAGCACACATCTGCTAAGAACTCCTTAGCAGTGTTGAATCTCCTCTTCACAGTGGTCACTTGGATCTCCTCTTCATAGCCTCCCTTTACAGCCTTTTGAGGAGCTACCCAGAGCACTGGTGATATGGTTTGAAGCTGGCTCCCTGTCAAGTCTCCAAACCTTACCACAAGAAGTCCCATCCCCTCCCCCCCCCCCCAAAACCTCAGGGAGAAGAGGGAAAAAACAACCAAGAAAACCAAAACGAGAGAGACAGCTAAAGCAATATATATAAATATATTTACACTTATGTTACAGTTATATACAATTGAAATATATATATATAATTTCACAAGGGAAAGGGAAGGGGGAAGGGAAAAGGAAACAAAACCAAAATAAAATATATATATATCCCGATTAGTAGCCCAATAGCTAACAACTAAAAGAATTAACAAAAAATATCTTACTACTCTCCTCGGGACAACGGAGAGTCACACTGGAACGATCGCCGGCAACCTCTGCCTCCCAAGGTCGACAAGGCCTTACCAGGCCTCGCTCCCCAACACGGCAGACTCAACAGCAGGGAACCTGCACCTCCAAGCCGCTGGAAGGAAAGAGAGCGAAGGCCTTTCCTCCTTTCTTCTTAAAGCCCGGCTTACGTAAAAATCATAGGGAATACTGGGTAAATCTGGGCCCTTCCTTGGTTACAAACTGGTCACCAAGGAAAGCCCAGACCAAACTACCACAACTGGTTAATTCAGATATTTTTTAAACATCTTCAGAAGCCTCTCAGCCCATTTACTAGACTTGGGAAAATTCAGTTCTGCTCTTCCTACCCTTGCTTATCTCAGATGCTGTATCAGCACTTATCCAAGGCTGGTATTTAAGGTGGTCCCTGCCTTCCCTCCAGATTCCTTGCCAGTTCAGCCCCATGTCCCTTTAGCACATTCTGTATTCCATCAGCTCCACCTTCCCCACCAGTTTTGTTCACCCCACTCTCCTCCACCTTCATGTCTCCTTCCCTGTGCTGATTTCTGAGGCTCTGACCTCCTGCCCATCATCCTCTGCTTGAGAGGCTGCACCAGGACATCCTTTCTCTCCTCACATGTTCAGTTAGAGGACATGGGAGGAGAGAAATCAAGCCAATCTCAAGAGCAAATAGCAAGACACTAAACCAGTTGTTTTTCAGTCCCCTCCTTCTCCAGTGGAAGGAGGTTGGACCAGAGGCTGCCTGAGGTCCCTTTCAACCCAAATTGCCTTAGGATCACATTTTTTCTTACACATTTTTTTTACCATCCTTACCAGTGTCTCCCCATTCTTCTACTATTTCCTATAGTTTGGATCATACTTACAAGACAAGGTAAGCTCTACTCAGCAGACATTGAAAGCTTGTAAGAGCCTTTTGGGTTTACTTGTTCATGGTGTTTTTAAAGGTAACTTGGAAGATGGAACCTTCCAGGGTAGTAAAACCAAACACTTGGAGAGCTGTGGGATAACTGTGGGTAATAAAAGTCACAGTTTAGCTGTCCAAGGAAAAGAAAAGAGGGTGATTATAGGCAGCAAGAATAATAGAAATAAATTATAGGAGAAAGGAAATTAAATTGGGGGCAAAAGGAGCAGGGTTGTCCCCATCAAGATCTCTGGATTACTGAAGGGCAAAAGTGATAGATAGCTTGAATCACTTGAAGCACTGACCAAAATGACCTTAGCAATTCTGTAGTGATTTGATATAAATATGTCTCGTCATCTGTAAGTTGCTCTCTATAGTAAGAAGAAAAACAAAACCCAGAAAAAATTGCGAGAGGTTTATTTTACAGACTGTATTAAAAAAATCAGTTTCTGAATAGCTTTATTACCACAGATAAACAATAAAAACCACCCCAAATCAAGAAAGTCAGTATTTTTCTCTTTTTTTTTTTTTTTATAAGATGGTAAGAAACAATAGGAACAAGTCCTTCAGACTTATGCAGCTAAATATAAAAAATTCCATATGCCCTGAAATCATTCAGAAGCTAATGTTCACAACTATTCATATTCAGTCTGAACTGCTTGGTCCAGACTGGAGAATGCAATTTCAGAAAGCTTCAGGGGAAAAAAGCTCTGTAAATGCAAGGGATGGAGGTTATGAAGTATTAACATGACGCTAAATTGCTGCCTATCATGTTTGCAATGGGCAGTTTACAATCTGTTCATCCTGATGGATTTAGCACAAGGGAGTCTGAAGTCCTGGCTCTGCAATTTCCATCTCTGCCTAGTAATTGATGGCTTAGCTGTACCCACAAATCATGTGTTAGCACCAAAGGAGTTTGGGACCCTGCTCATCTCAAACTGCTCCATTACACTCAGAGGAACAGTAATAAATGGAAAGTAAGGAAAAGTTGAATGGTAATGAACTAAGCTAGTACAAAACATAGAAATACAATTTCTCAAAAAGTACAAACTCATTTAGTGTCTTAATGAGTTATTAAAAAAACAATAATAACGATTTTGTGGTTTGAAGCCAAATTAGT